TTTAATAATTATAGAAAAGAGGGGGGTATTAAAACTAATCGGGCTAGGCCCAATACACATTTGAGGAGGGGCTTAAATGATTGTGTGTGGCATAGAGTATGGTAACTACCGTACAGACTTGGCCTTAATGGTCGTCTGATCAAGATCCACTGGATGATATTGAGGGAACACAGAAACTACTATGGACGTGCGTACACTGGATTTGACGAAATATATGTTATTTCGTTTTTATTTCATTTTCATTTTATTTTACAGGAAACTTCACCTTCATCTCTTTTCTCTTTCTCTCTGACCTAGTACAACCCTTTCCCCCTTCTTTAACCCTAATCTCCATAAGCACCACGACGGCGCTCCAAGTACCGAACGAATTCCATCGCGTCATAACCAACACAAATAGTAAAAGAAAAAATAGAGCTAAGTTCGTTTATCCCTTGCAATTCTGTTTTCTGATTTTTCGTGCTTCGTTAATCCTTATTCTTCTCCTTGTTTATAGGTTACAGCGAGTTGGAATGGAGTAGCGGCGGCGGATGGTGAGTTTGAAGATGGTGGTGGATGAAGGCTCCGGCGGCGACTGCACTAGCAGTGGGGCAATAGCTTCTAGGTTTACAACGACGATTGTGGTTTCCGATAGTGAAACCCCAATCGCCCCTTTTCTCTGTATCGTCTTATGTTCTTGATCACGCCTACTGTAACAATTTTCTCGCCTCTTCTGTATATCCTCTTCTTCTGTCTTCGTGCCTCCTCCTTGTTTCTGTATCCTTTTCTGTATTTATACATTTTTTGTAATTACGATAAATTAGGGATTTAGATTTACTTGTGATTGATTTTGATTTGTTTTCACTGTAAAGCAATGTATAATGAAGATTGATGTAATTTCTGTTGTAAAAAGGATTTGTTTTCTGCATAATTGATTTTTGGATTCCGTTTTTTAGTATATTTCCTGGGCTTGGACTGTCTTGTTTTAATATTTGATTCCCAATGTGTTTCAATCATGATCTCTACAGTACCAGTTAATTGCAAGAATTGCGCCTAAACTTTGGATTGATTAAAATAGTGGTTGTTATAACCTCAATTGGGCATGCGCTAATTATCCAGCCTGCAACAAATTTTCACATTCTATTGGGCTTGCGCACTATCCCATAACAATATATTTTATTTTTTAATAACTAAACATTACTGTAAAAGCAAAGAACATTACCTTATAATTTCTTGAAACAAATATTATTTTAAAACAACAAACAGTTTTTTCTCTAATAACATTATTTCTTTTGTATATCTCTTTTTTTCTATTGAAACAAAAAACAATAATTTTAACAAGAATATTTATTTTCCTCTCTAATCACTAGATGGGCCTTATATTGATAAACACACCCTTGTTTGGATAAAAAAATAGAAATGGGTCAACTAAAGAAGCTTAATGGGCTCAGTTAATTTGAAGTCGCACCCCTTTTTTACTAACAATAATAATCCCTAAATGGGTTTTACTATAAGAACTTAATTATTATTCTCTTGAACTAATATTCCATTTTCGAATCGCATGGGCCATTGGCCAACATGCTTCGTGAATGGGTTTATGAGTCTTCCTGATTTATAAAGCCGCACTCTCCTGAATTAGAATACACCCCCTGGTTGACTTAAATTTTAAGAATGGGCCATCAGATAATGTCGTATCATCCTTGATTAAACGTTTCTTTTTTATTTTAATCTAGAAAAATAAAATTATCGAGGTAGGGAAAATTTGGGGTACGACACAGGTGCGTATAAGATTTATTGTCCAGAAACTAATAAAGTTGAAGTCAGCAGAGACGTTGTGGTAAAAGAGTCTGAAGCATGGGATTGGAACAAGTCTCAATCAGATTCTAGTGTAATGCCAACACCAGAGTTAATTTTTGAAGATGTTTTAGAAAGTTCTGAAGGTAAGTCAGAATCAGAAGATGAATCTGATTCTAAAGATTCTGAAGATGAGTCAGAAGGAGATTTTGAGAGTGGATCTGATTCTGATCTAGATGCTGATGATGATCCAGAATCAGATGGTGATCATAGTTCTGGAAGGGAAAACTCTAAAGGTGGTAACTCTAAAGGTAGTAGTTATGGTGTAGTTTCAGAACAAGTTCAAAGACCACAGAGAATCATACAAAAAACAAGAAGGTTTGCAGATTTCGACATGTTGCAGGATAATGAAGTTGATTATGAAGGAGAAGTCGTTCAGTGTGCCATGTTAGTAGATTCTGAACCAGTGGGCATTGAAGAAGCTCTCGAGAAGAAAGAATAGTTGAATGCCATTAACGAAGAACTTGAGGCAATAGAAAGGAAAAAAATGCGGAAATTGACTAAGCTTCTAGATAAGAAAAAATCCATCGGTGTCAGATGGGTTTTTAAGTTGAAACTTAAGCCAGATGGTTCAATTGGCAAGTACAAAGCTAGGCTAGTAGTTAGAGGTTTTCTTTAGAAACCTAGGCTAGACTACTTTGAGGTGTTTGCGCCTGTAGCTAGGCGTGAAACAATCAGACTGGTGATTGCTTTAGCTGCAAATATAAATTGGCCTTTGATGCATCTAGATGTGAAGTATGAATTTCTGAACGGTCTATTACAGGAAGAAGTTTACGTGTCACAACCTCCTGGATTTGTGAAAAAGAATCAGGAAGGGATGGTATACAAGTTGAATAAAGCTCTGTATGGATTGAAGCAAGCGCCCAGAGCTTGGAATCTAAAAATTGATTCATTTTTCAAGAAGCAGAAGTTTCATAAATGTGAGATGGAATATGGCGTTTATGTGCAACACTTTGATAACAATGGGATTCTGGTGTGTCTCTATGTTGATGACATTTTGCTAACAGGAAGCTGCCTAAAAGATATAAAGAAGTTCAAAGAAGTTATGATGAATGAGTTCGAGATGACAGATCTAGGAAATATGACATATTTCCTAGGGATGGAGATTCTGTACTCGAAGAAGAGTATCATTCTGCATCAGTTGAAGTATGAACTAGAACTTCTGAAGAGATTTAAGCTGCAGAATTGTAAAGTTATTGTGACACCATCAGAAACCAATCAAAAATTGGATTCTGACTCTGATGGTGATTCTGTTGATACTACAACCTTCAAACAGTTGGTTGGTTCTCTAAGGTATTTATGCAATACTAGACCTGGCATTTGTTATACAATTGGATTGGTTAGCAGATTCATGAGTAATCCAAAGTGGTCTCATTTCCAAGTTGCTGTCAGAATTCTGAGATATATCAAGGGAATTTTGAAATATGGAGTGTTGTTTCCTTCTGAAAGAAAGACAGAACCAGAATTAGTAAGTTATTCTGATTTTGACTGGTGTGGAGACAGTGGACATGAGAAGTACTTCTGGATACTTGTTTAAATTTCTGGGAGGTCCCATTTCCTGGAGTTCCAAGAAACAGCCTGTCGTGGCTCTGTCAACATGTGAAGCTGGGTATATCGCAGGTGTTATAGCTGCTTGTCAAGTTGTTTGGCTTCTGAATCTCTTGCATGATCTGAAGGTTGAAGTTGAGGAACCTCTGAAGTTGATGATTGATAATAAGTCTGCAATTGATCTTGCCAAGAATCCAGTGCTACATGGAAGAAACAAGCACATTGAGACGAAGTATCATTTTCTCAGAAGTCAAGTGCAGGAAGGAGTGTTAGAAGTTCTGCACTGCAACACCTAGAAACAACTAGCAGATCTTCTGAAGAAGGTAGTTAAGACAGACCAATTTCTTCGCTTGAGAGTTGAAATTGGCGTCGTTAACTTCTGATAGAAAATATAAATTAAGGGATGGTATTGAAAAAAGACAATTTAGTTAATTTCTATAATTCCCAAATGCTTATCCTTTAATAGGGCCTTTTGGCATTTTCAATATTTAGTATAAATATGTTATTCTAGGCTATCAATATTGTACCCTACTTTATCTCCTCTATTTTGATATACAGTAGTCTTTTATTATCATTCTTTGTTCATTCTTCTTCTTCCACTTTATTACCTTGCACCAACAGTAAAAACATAAAAGTTAGAGCGAGTATTATTATTATTATTATTATTATTATTATTATTATTATTATTATTATTATTATTATTATTATTATTATTAATACTACTATGGAGAGTACTACAAGACTCTCTTTGATAAAAATAACGATGGACTAATAAGTTAATTGATAATTGATAGCTTATAACTAAAAATTTATAATTTATAATTGATGATTGATGATTTATAATTTATAAATTAATTGAAATATTTGATAATTTAGCTGTTCAACTAATTGATAAATTAAAATAACATAAAAAATGTTTAATATATTATTAATTTATTTTAAATTAAAATAAATTATACAAAGTAAAAATGGATTTTAGTTAAATTGATAAAGATAAAAATAAAAATAAAATAAATATAAACTTAAACAATATTTAAAAGCATTTAAAAAATAAACTATAAATTAATAAAATAAATTATAAACTTGTAATAAAAAAAGACTTACTAATTTTTTATTATCATACAAACTTATAAAATATAAACTCAAAAACATTCCTCCAAATAGAGCTTAAATGTACAAGCCAAATATCTATACTTGTTTGTTATGAATCACTCATCTAATAATTTGAACATGTCACTCTCATTATCTTTTTTAAATTGACTAATACATACACACATCAAATGCCCCCCAAAAAATTAATTATTGTTGAGAAAACGTCTTACATTTTTAAGTAACTCATCTAAAATGTCCATTTTTACCCATATTATCGGTATAAAATAATCATCAATTTCTAACCATTTTTTTGCCCACAAAATTAGAACCTCACACGTCCATGTCAATATAACAAAGTAATCTTAACAAGTTCATAGATAATTTTTACATGTCTAATGAAATTAAGAAAAGGAAACATAGCCTAATATGTTCGTTTTTTGTTCTCTCTGAAACATAAGAATACTTCAAAATTTGATGATTATTAATAAAAAAATAGTAGAAAATTGAAAACATAAGTCCTTCCTAAAATATCACACACACATTCGAATTCGGTTCCCATGAACAAGAAGATGTTGTTGATTCACCATTTCATGACATCTCCTTAACCCTTCATTACTATTTCCCACTACCATAGAAACTTCCACATTTTCTTCCTCCTCCTCCTTCTCAAGTTCTTCATTTTCTTCATTTTCTTCAACTTCTTCTTCTTCTTCTTCACTTTCTTCCTCTTCTTCATCGTCACTTTCTCGATCTGGTATTAGATGCAATGTCAACCGTCCATCACGCCGTGAAGCGTGAAGAATATCCGGTCGATGTATTCTAACTTCCGTTAACTCCAACCTCCCGTCTTTCCTCACCGGCCTGAGATAAAAACTAGGTTTACCATTCCGATTCAACGACGGAATCGGCGGCGGAAGCGACCTCATCCAATTTCCTCTACTTTCACCTCTTTTCATAGCAATCTTCCTCCTCCAAATCTCATCATTCTCATCACCATTCACCTTCACATCCATTCTATCACGATCTCTCCTCTCATCAGAGCTTTCAAATCCCAGACTCTCAGTGCACGACATCAAACCATCAACATCTCCAGAGAGAAATTCAATCCGCGTCCGCAACAGATTTCGCTTCGAATTCACCATCGTAGATTCAACAACATTCGGAACCGGAGCCTTATCAGTGATGGCCGTAACAAGAGCCAAACCAGAAACAGAAACAGACTCAGATTGTGTAGCAGTGATGGTAGTTAGATCGAAAAGAGGTTCAATATTTTTCTTGAACAAGTTAATCACATAAGATAGAAGAATAGGAATAGGGTAATATAAAAAGAGAGTTATATTTTTATTTGTTTCTGTTTCTGTCATGGTTGAGTTTTTGTTTGAAAAAGAAAAGGATAAAACAAGAGGTGAAAAGTGTTATATAACTCTTTTCATGATGGGGTGCCAAAGAAAAATGATGAGGTGGAGAGTTTGTTACTAAGATATGAGCTGGATGGAGTCAGTAAACGGTGCCGGGTCCCACGTTGGATTATTATTACTAATCACTGTGATTCCCTTTAATTAGCAGTTTTTTTTGTCGCTAATCTGTTTTAGTTGAACGGGTTAAATTTAACAATAAAATTAACCTCTTGTTAGTCTTATGAGTTTTCGATACACTTGTATTGGTTTGAATTGTTCATTTAATAGCTTTTTGTTTGTTTCTTAAGGGTGAATGATATCCAGCTGTTTTGGAAATTAAAAGAAAAAAATAAAATGGAATTTTTTATATTCCTGTGCTATTTGGTTTGACTGTGATTCTTATAAATAAATGGAAAATTATTAGTGGTTGTGAAGTGAGCATCACATAAATTTATATGTAGTATGTGTTAAATATCTCTTCTCTAAACTTAGAGGAAAAGGGCTTGAGGTGTAGTTGCTACACGTTTTTTTCTTCACTAATGTTATAAGAACACAATTGTTTCAATTTATGCTCACCTCTTATAATAATTCAGAAAATTATTATTATTATTATTATTATTATTATTATTATTATTATTATTATTATTATTATTATTATTATTTAAAAATATTTATTTAAATTGTCAAATTTAGAATATTAATGATAAATTATTGATAGGATTAAACATATTTTTGATCTCTATAAAAAATTATCAAATTTTATTTTTAGTTCCTATTAATAAATGTCATGTTTTAATCGCTATAAAATTATCATGCAGGTAATTTTAGTTTCTATAGTTTCTATTGTTAAATCAATATTTATTTTTGAATGATTATCTTATAAATATGTTTAGAACGTTATAAAAAATTCTTTGAAAAAAAAAGAATTTAAAATTTAATTTCTAAATCGAAATTTTCATTAATTTTATTTTTATCTTTTAAAAATTTTAAAATTCATATTTAATCCTTTTAATTTTAAAAAATTTTAAAATTTGATAAAGAAACTTAGTATAATATTCCAAAAAAACAATTAAATAATTAAACACTTTTTAAAATATTAGAAAATAGCGGAAATTAAAATTACATAAATAAATCTTTTTATAAAAACAAAAACATATTATTTTTTTATAAAAACTAAAAATAAAATTTGAAATAATTATAAAACTCAAAAATATATTTATCTCTTATTGATAATATATAATTTGTCAAAAATAAAATAGTAAATTAATTATTTACTTCAGAAAGTGAAGAGTGAAGCTCATCACTCTAAACCTGTTTCCAGATACGCGGTAATGCTAATTCAAGTAGAGAAAAGAAAGTGGTATCTGAAACACTGTTTATTCATCATCACTTTACTTTACAATATATTAGAAGTATTTATATTTAGTAGTAGCTATAGGGTTAACAGAAACTTTTAAACATAAGTACTAACAAACTCTGTAACTAACATAACACACCACCAAACTACTTATCAGTGTTTAATTAATGTTAATTAGTAATAAGGCACCTCTCTAACACCACCCCTAAAACTAAAGGATAAAGGATAGTGATCTTCATTCACAACTTTGAGTTTGTCTCTCAATTCTTGAAAGGCTGTTGTACTAAACGGCTTAGTAAGTGCATCTTACTAAGTGCATATGCAAGTTGTGCAGCAACATGAATATGTCGGATTAGTATTTTTTTCAGTTATAATTCTTTCTCTTACAAAGTGAATCTCAAGTTATATATGTTTCATACGAGCATGTAGAACTGGATTGTGAGATAATAAAATAACATTGAGATTGTCATAGAGGAACGTGGGAGTGTGAAACGGGATTCTGAGTTCAGACATGAAAGACTCTAACCATAGTAACTATTGTATCCCAAAATTTGCCCTCTCATTTTATTCAAAACATACTCCTAGAGGTCCTCAATTTGCTCAAGGTTGCCCAAGAGTTGACCAGACAAACTCTCTCCTAAGGCAATGTATCTTAAACTAGGGTTTCCATTTTCATCAAGATGGGTGGACTCCAAAGACTTCATATGCTTTCCATGGTCCTAATATGCTCTCAAGACCCTCCATGTCAAATTTCAAGCCTTGCACAAGAAGTTTGCTCAGTCAACTGCTCAGATACTTGAGAATCGACTATATTAGGTCAAAAGTCAATGGTGACCCACATACAGTCAAACTTTAAGAGTTTTGGTCAACATCAACATTTTGAAGTTATATCCATCATTTGATCAAGGGTTGATCATGATTTCTCAAGGAATGTCCCAAATTCATCAAAACCAAAAAGTTGCTAAATTAGGGTTTCTTAGGAAAAGTCAACCAAACTTTGACCAAGCATAACCTCCTCATACTTTATCAGAAATTTTCCATCCAAGGCTCATTTTGAAGAGAATGCAATTCCCTACAATTCATCTTCAGCTCTCAAGTCCAAAATATGCACTCACAAAAGATATGAATTTCCACATTATAGGTCCTTTTTAAAAGTCAACAAAAACATTTTTTGGGTCAAAGCTTCTTACATGTACATGGAAGACCCAATTGAGATAAGACCAAAAGGGTTCTTTAGGGGACATCCTAAGCTTTGTAAAAAGTCCAAGAACACCTCTCTAGGGTTAAAATTGGAAGATGTATGCCTTGTCAAAGTTGCCCATTTTTGCAAAATTGCCAAAAGTAAAAAATGCTCAAAATTGTTTTTTTTTTTGCAAAATGGGCTTAACCTTTTATGCTTGAACCTCACTTATAACATGGTCCATGACCCAAATATTCACCCACATGTTATTTGCTTTACTATTTATTTTATTTTGATTTTTTATTAATTAAAAATTGAATTAAATCAAATAAATGGTAAATAATAGCAAATATTTATTTTGATTGGATTTTTGGACAGAATCACAAGCTCATTATGCTGGCATATCCAGATCAAATCGAATCAAAGTTAATTGGCACAAAAATGACATGATTAGGCCAAATTTGGAAAGATATCATACAACATAAAAACCAAATCAAATCTTCAAAAGTTGCAAAGATACCAGCTATTTTTATAATGCTAATTCACTTAGGGATATATAATGAACAAAGCCAGGCACAAAAAATAAGAGGTTGCAGCCGTTAAGAACCCTAGAACAAACTCAAAATTTTGGCAAAAAATGGTGATCTGATCTCTACCCTAGAGGACAATTCAAGGCCTTCCAACATTCCTAAGCGATTCCTGGACCTTCCCAGAAGCTAACCCAATCGATTGCAGGTCCTTTCACGCCCAGAAACGCTCGCTACATCTCATACAGTTTTCTTATTTTCTTCAAATCGATTACAACCATTCTTGCATCATTAGCATGATTTAATGATATATTTGTGATCATTGATGTATTTCTAACATGTCTGGATTGTTTAATTAGATTTTTGAGGCTTATACGTGTGACATCCATGGCTAGGGTTTGAGGTCACGGTTTGGGGTTTCTTGATACAGGTAAAATTGGCCTACACAAAGGGTACCATCGTACTAGTGAGGTCAAAACAATTTGATTGGTGCAACCATAATTCATTTATCATGCTTGTGCTGGATTTTGGAAATTTGTAGGGTTTTAGTTACAGACGTTTGTCCGTAGGTATAAGTTACTTACCTAAAGCGGCGGACAAGCGAAGAAGAAGATAACGTGGCAGCCAACCACTGGACCATTCAAACCAGCGCGTGTTTTTGTTTGTTTTTTGTCTTATCCAGTTTGTTTGACATATTATTGATTGTTATTATTATGTTAACAATTAAAACGTGTAGCCTAGTTGGTGGAGAGCGCGTTGTATGAGTAGCAGGACCTGGGTTCAATCCCAGGTCCTAGCATTTTCCTTATTTTCTTAATGTTTAACTGCAGATCCTGTGCTCCACGCATCCAGGCGCCTACCATACATCCATTAATCCAGCCATTTGATTCATCATCAAATCCAATCCAACGTCCCACACACGCAGCCATACCATAGATCATCAGGGGACCAACATACTGGATTAGGCGCTGATTGGGCTTCAGCTTGGTGGGCCTGGAACAAATTCAGAAAGGCACCCCTCCAATTGCTATACAGGCCCAATTTAATTTATTTATTTATTTATTTTGTTTGTTTAATTATTTGTTTTCACAAATTAATTCTTTTTTTAATTAACTACAAAAAACCAAAAAAAAAATCACAAAGACACTAAAATTCCTTTTTTTTATAAAATATTTATTTTCTTTAATTAATTAATTTAATTAAAAATTAGGTTAATTTAACTCCTTTTATAATTAAAATCAATTAGAAATTAGGATTTGATTTTTGTAAATAATTAATTTTTTCTTCTAAAAATAACTTAAATATTTTTTCCTCAAATAGATTTTAGGTTTTCTAATCGTCCTCGCATTTAATTAGCTAAAAACGATGACTGTAGTGGTATGCTTTTGAGTAGAACCCCGTTGATGATGTACATGCATTGTTTCAATCCCCCAACACATGAGATATAAGGGAGTTAGACCCTCGTTAACCCCTCTGAGCCTTCGAAGTAGGAGTTTCTTTTCCGTTTAAAAAAAAACCTTGTTTTTTTAACCCGGGGCAGGGTAGATGTTCAGTTAATTTGACCAAGTATTCAAATTTCAGAAGGAATGTCCCATCTGAGGATCACCACATTTTATCTTTCGCATCATGAGATCAGGAAAAATGTCAAAACCACGATGTTCATTTCCTCACAAAGTCCTGAGGTCGAGATCGAATCGATATAATAATGGTTATCCCTCGTCGACCAAGGAATGAGGCATTTGTTTTAAAAAAAAGAGAAAAAGAAAGAAAAGGTTCAAAAACCTAAAGTCACATTGACTTGTTCGAAAGTGGAAAGTATGAATAAGAAAGAAACAAAAAGCCCCGCTAAGTCGAAACTTGAAAACAAGTCGCTTAGGCAAAAGTTAGGGCATCCCGCTGGACC